AGGGTCATTAAATGAAACAGGTTGCAACAATAAGAACTTGAATAACCGGCTCCCCTTTGTTTCTTAACTGAAGACAATATTGTTGAAAGTAACGCCACGAAAGTAACGGATTACTTTTTGGGGTAACGGTCACGTACTTTCATGGCAGAGTAATTGTAATTGGTAATAAATTGCAATTTAGCCTTGAGTGATTGTAAATGTAATTCTTTACTATTTTTCAGTAACGTGTACAAGTCTGCTCGCAGTTACATATATGAAATCGTCTTGGGAGTCGGTGACACAGACACTCTGTCCAATAGATGCGCCCAAAAGGGAGGAAAGTTATATTTGTTTTCGTTTTTGCTTTGTAAAACCCACTTCAAGCAGACGCACATTTTGTAAACATAAAGACTGACAAAGGACAAACTAATAACATTGTGTCGTTTTATTTAGGCCAAACAATAAAAAAGGGGGAAAGGAATGGCGCGTGACTCGCCGCAGCAAAATACTCGTGTATGTGGTAAGGCGCAAGTACACTACTGGGGAAAAATATGACAATATTCAATAATGGCAACACCTTCTTTCGGTTTCAGTTAGAAACACGACACTTCAACCGCACGCTCGGAACCATATACTTAAAAACAACACAATGCCAACTGTCGAGAAAAAAAAGAAAAAAAGACGCACGCACGCGCAACGTTTTACTTGTCGAGGTTGCTGTGTAGAAGAAGCAGAATATTGTCAACTCGGACGGATTTAGACTGCTTCGCCTCCTTTAAATTAACACCCCCAATGAGACGTCTCTCCCCGTTGGTGTACTTCATGCTGGGGTGGCATGCACGAAGTGCTCCACAATAATGGTGTTCGGAAACTCGTGCTGGTGCAAGTTACCCCACTCCAGAGAATCGACTTCAGTTTCCTCAAATAACTACTTGTAGGCAAGAAGCCACTTGCAGGTTTCTTCTACTTTCTTGTGGCTTGTACGTTTTGGGTTTCCTCTGCCCAAATACCGTTTTCCGCTCTTTCACTGCAGCCAAACAAGAACAGGCTTCCTGGGACGAGGGATAGTTCTGCATTCTTTACTTTCTTTAGTGACAGTGTTTTTGGCGAGATAGAACGATCTGGGGTGAGAATCAAATATTTTTTGACGTTAAGAACCATTTTCTCTCAAATTGGTACCTTTTACCTAAGAGAGTATGTTTGCCCCCCCCCCCCCCTCCCCCTATACATTCGATGACGCACTTTATCACTTATTCACTTTACACACTATGGTCGCACACGTTTACGGGCCGCCTCGGCAAAGATGAATCCGGACCCGCGAATATCCGCGTCCGATCCGCATCCGCAGCCTCTGGCATCCGCATCCGATCAGCAATCCGCCAAATCTGATTCATTTTTATCAAAATCCGCCAGTTTACTGCGGATATTCGCGGATAATCCTCGGATATGCAGGGCTCTTCGCACGACTGAAGTGGCAGCTTTCTGTTCTAGCCGCTTGGTGCCGTCGATTTTCCAGAAGTCGCATATGCTTGACACCGAGGGGTCATATTATTTCGGGATAACGAACATTGTTTCCAGTAATCTTCTACGCATGCGTACGCCCTCTCCCATAGCCCTGGTTCCCGCTGTCGCCATTTTTCGAGGGTGCCGTCCCTCCGAAAATTCAGCACCTGTCTTTGCGCTGTTGTTGCCTTTTTTGACAATTCTTTTTCTGACTATCGGTAGTACATTGCATTAAAAGAATTTAAAACTGATACAACGGCATGATGTCGATTCTGTTCCGACTGGCGGAGGCTTGTTGGACTGACCTTCATTTGTAGTTCGGAAACATCTCCCTAAACGGCAATCGTTACTCCAGAAAAGATTTATTGTAAAGCCACGTGAAGGGTACTACATGTGTTTGAAAGAATATATCAATCTTTTAATTTTTTTTTCACTTATTTTTTCGCTCTACTTGTTTCAGCGCCGGTTGTGGTGACAAAACCTCAAAAGTTTCCAGGCTTGCAAGTAGCTTATCTAAGGACCGTGATAGTACTAACATTACCTACGTCTTTCATATCACTGATGCCGGGCGTTTGATGCAAAGTCTTTGCATCAAGAAACCGCGTTAGAATAGATGACCACAACGTAACGTAACCACAACAGTTCACCATAACTAGAAGGGGCGTTTTGTCCAGCTTGTTTTCCACAGATCTCGCTGTTTACCCAACACAAGGCTTGTGGGCTGGATTCTTTGCATCATCGTCCTCGATCGAGCGCGGGGCCCAAATAGACCTCTTCAAAATCGAAGCGATGCTAGCGGCCTTAGTGCCGCGCAAAGCATCTTGGGTACCTTTTGGTCACCGTTACGGTTTCGGTTTGCCAACCTCAATGTACGATATCCCGTCACGACCAAATGCAGTGCATGCATGCATTTTCGAATATGTGACTTTTCTTAAATGTGTGGTGCTGCCTACCAATACCGATAGAATGCTAAGGCACATTTTATTAAGCCTCGCGACGTACCAGGGTTTGTGCCCGATAAACAAAGGAAGAATAAGAGGGGTACTCGGTCGATCATCCCTTTCCATCGTCTCAATGCAGCCTCTTCAATCATTCGTGACCCTAGAGGATCAAGCGGCACTCTGAAGCGGTATACCCAGGTCAGAAGAAAAGTATGGGACGCGGCCGGCCGTACCCTCGCTTAATCTAGGCAGGTCCTCACGGCCGCTGGAGGTTCGCGTTACCAAGGGTGCCCTCACAAAGATGAATGGGTGCAATGCAAGCAAGTGCTGACTTAATTTTCATGCACTGCTGAGATGCACTATTTTGTCAACTGGGGCAATTGGTCAAAACAATGCCACTCTTTTCCGTTGTCAAAGAGGCCCCATAATGCAAAACGCGCAGTGTTGCATACAGGGATTTTCGCAAGTAGTCTACTTAACAAGAGTGGTGCGTGAGCGCTTGGCTATGTCGAGCGAAGGCTACATCAGAAACACAAACAAATAATTCATGTTGTCGTTTTTCCCATGGGTTGGATTCTAAACTTAACCGCTAAGGGCGTTCCAAAGCTGTTCTTTTTTTTATATATATCTTGCGGTGCCACTGGAACCTGATGGTAAGCCTTCACTAGAGCAATCTCTGATAAGATCGTGAATTCTCGCAGTGAGGCCGTAAAATTCTCAAGCCGTGGTAGTGGGTACCTGCCTGTGTTTTTTGCACATGATCGTCAATCACCGGTTTCTTTCTTTGGTACGATATTTAGTGGAGATTCCCATAAATCTGCCCTAAAGTCAAATAGTGCCGAGCTTTAACTTAAAAAAAAAAAAAAAAAAACATAGCAGTTTTTTTGTTTTAGTCGTGCTGTAGGCAAGCGCCTAGAACGAGCATACACCGATGGTCCTCTGACGATATGGTGCTCTGAAGCACGCTTGGATATTGGGGAGATGATGGCAGATAATTGCACTAGTGGTTAAGTTCGTTGTAGAATCGAGGAGGCGTTTGCTATGCATATCCAGTGCGCTCCTATAAGATGGTATACTAAACATCCACAACTAAAAAATCCGTTCGTATGTTCTTCGAAGTCCGATGATAAGTGTCAAGGTTTGCCTTCCATAGTCGCAATTGACTATTTAATTGCTTCTTGTAAGCTGTACAGTAACTTTTTTTTCTACGCTGTGAGTCAAATGAAAGAGGTAGGACACTAGCCTCAGCCCCTAGGTGTCACTCAGGAACAGTGACTCCCGTATATCGTATTACGATCGGCGCCGAAAAACAGGCGACTGGGTTGAACAGCACCACCACTAGATAGATGCCTGTAGTGGCAGGAAAGTTTGTTGACACAAGACAAACGCTGCGTCACCGCTGATTTCGCACTGGCGTCTAATCAATCTGTCGGCCCACCCCGCCTCTAAAGCCCATGACGTAGTGAATTTTGTCAAAAGTTCTAATAAAATCGTTATTTTTTTCTACAGATTGATTACGTTTTTGACACAATAGAAAAGTTGAAACAGATCCATGCATAAATATACAACCGTACGGTGAAAGGCATATTCACGTCTGCCATGGCCGTTGGCGTTGAAAATAAAAAGTGCCTGATGAAACTGCCTTTTCACTGCCGTCATTAATAGGGAACAGGTTGGAATGCATTTTGATTCACTATAGATGGCACTGCATTTTAGAAAAGGTCTATACTTAGTTTTAGCATCAGTTCGAGCACAGCCAACTAAGAGAACACGTACAGACACAGATGCAGAAATTAAAAGCGCGAGGTCACATCGTGTGCACTGCGCTCGATTGGTATAGTCGATGACAGCACACGTACAAAAAGTCGACGAACGCCATGACGTTGCACTTTTGGCACTGCTTGATTGGCCCCATTGACGTAGCACCGGCTGTGTTCAGACTTACGGGGAAACGAAATATAGTTATCACTGGATGTGGGAAAAGACCGTTACAATGCCTTTGGCGGAGATATTGTTAGTTGCTGTCGGTAGCAGAGAACAGAGCGCATGTCAGAAAGAGAGTGAGAGAGAAACAGAGAGCGCTCGATGCAGCCAGTCATCCTCCCCGAAACTTCCGGGCGGTGAAATCCGTCAGAGACCGCCGAGAGAAGTGAAAGCGCCGCCATCAAAAGATAAACTGGTTCAGGCGCGGCTTACCGGCCGGCCACGTCATCTGGCAGTGGCTGAAGTGTGAGCGACGGCCGTTGCACGAGCTAACCCCTTGCCCATTTCCGGCCAGATGGGGTCGCCGGACGGCTGGCCGCGGAGGGCGTGCACACGGAAGCCGCGGGAGGGAGCTGCCGGGGCGGCCCTGGGGCAGCCACCAGCGGGTCCCCGGACGCGGGCAAGGAAGCCGTCCTCCGGCAGGTTGCATAACGACATTGACCCAGGAAGGGTCTATAAATGGCGGCTGGCCTAGTTCGGCAAAAAAGAGGAAAGCCCGGCCTTGGCGGCTTTCTCCGCGCAGGGTGCATTGACTCTGGGGAGAGGGCCGTCGCCGTATAAGAAGCGCGGGGCCCCGATCTGGGCCAGTCGAGCATGGCGAACACGGTGGCCGCCGCGCTCCCGGCGCACTCGCTGGCCTCCATGCTGTTCTCGGGGGGCGACCCTCGGGTGCGGCACTGGGCCCTGATGGGCTCGCCCGCGGTCATCGTGTCCATCCTGGCCGGCTACCTGTACTTCTCGCTGCGCCTGGGGCCCGCCCTCATGAAGAACCGGCGACCCTTCCACATCCGGCCACTCGTGGTCACCTACAACGTGGTCATGGTGACGCTCAGCGTCTACTTCTTCGCGCTCACGCTCAAGCTGACGTACCTGCGCGGGAGCGGCGCCTACAGCCTCTTCTGCCAGGGCACCGACGGCGACTCGACGGCGATGCCGCTGCTCTACCACGGCTGGTTCTACATGCTCATGAAGGTGGGGGAGCTGCTAGACACGGTGTTCTTTGTGCTGCTCAAGAAGAACGGCCACATCAGCTTCCTGCACCTGCTGCACCACTCCGTGGCCCTGTCCACCGTGTGGCTGGACATCAACAACGGCATCACGGGCCAGGTGGCCATGTTCCCCATTCTCAACACGGCAGTGCACATGGTGATGTACACCTACTACGGCCTTGCCGCGCTCCCTCCGCGGCTGCGGCCCAACTTGTGGTGGAAGAAGTACGTCACGCAAATCCAGATCGTGCAGTTCTTCGCGCTCATGATGCACGGCTCCATCCCGTTCTTCCACGACTGCGGCTTTCCGCTCGTCATGGCCAGCTTCATGGTCTTCGAGGCGGCGTTGTTCACGGGACTCTTCTCGGACTTTTACTACCGAAACTACATTGTGCCCAAGCTGCTGTGAGCCGGCCCACCGCAACAACCCCTAGTTGTACATAGCTGATGACGCGTCCGCGAGTTCCCCTATTCCCCCGCCAATAAAGTGCCTTTCACTCCGGACTGGCTCGTGCACTTCGCCGTCTGTCGCCGTCATCGACAAGCCCCACCGTTCGACTCTGGCAGGCGGCAGCCAAGGTCGTTGTCGCCGACAGCAGCGGCAACAGAGCCTTGTGCTCTTTGCGTCATCGGCCCTTCGCGGCGGGCTTCTGGGCCAAGGAAGGCGATTGGCCCCTTTCTGCCCTACCGGGCCCCACGGGCAGCCGGGGCCCCCCCCCCCCCCCCCCCCCCCCCCCGGAATGCCCACCGTCGGACGTCGCCCGCGACCCGCTCGACCGGCACGCCATCGTCCCAGGAAGGCGCGAGAATGTTGCCAAATTTATCGCGTCAGTGTAGCCGCCGCCGCTCCCCGACGCGTTCTCAATCCAGCGGGATATCCTGAAATAGAAGGCGAAAGCTGGAAAGTAGGCTATGGCGGCGGCCAGGAGGAGGAAGCTCGCCGAATGTTTGTCAACAGCGTCTTCCGGACGCCCGGCGGCGGAGCCTGACGCCGTGCCCCGACCGCCGGGAAATCGCGCCGCCCATTGTCTTCGGGCGGCGCCAGTTCCGAGGCCCTAATTTGGAGGGCTAGCAAAAAATTCGGCGGCCGCCAGCGCCGCGTTTGACCTTGGCACCGACCAAGCAAGGCAATCGAATTTTTCGCCAACTTTTTCGCCAAGTGTCCACATTAGAGTCCCCGGTTGCACGAGAGTGTTCCTCCTCTTGGCGCGCACTTTACCCGCGGTTTTCGCTCTCCGACTTCGAAAGGACAAGGACGTGCGAAGTTTGTCAGGATCGACCGGTGAAACTAAAAACAGCATTAAAACGCGCGGATATAATATACTGTGGGAATTGCGTCAAAGGCATAATGGCTCCTCCTTAAGCTTGATTGGATGTAAGGGCATAGTTAATTAGTTAATCCATCGCTATGTTTTTTTTAATTATAATGACAAGAGAATCTTATTGTTATTATCACTAGGGGTGTCCGAATAGTGGTTATAGCGCTGCGTCATTCACAGCGTTCACAGGGCAAAGGAAAGCCAGGATATGCCAGCTCTTTGTAGTGTTGAAGCTAAAAAAAAAAAAAAAAAAAAAACACCGCGTTATTCGATCCGAACAACCATTCGCACCCCTCTAATTATTACATAACACCAATTACAGCATACAGGTCTGATTATATGCTTCTTTTTTTGTTTTCGCCCGCTTATATTTTATTGATTATTTTCGAAGGGTTTGTGAATGACGCAAGCGTAGAAAGTTCTTCCGTTATCGCGCTTGTTGTAACTCACTTTTTTGTGTGTGTATCCGCCTGCTACAGTTATCTAAATGCAGCGCGGCCTCAAGCAAGGCTCCAACGGGTTCAAGGTAAGTCGAGTAGGACGCAATGGTGTTTCGAGACTTACGCGAATTATACTGTACACGCAACTCCGTAACTACACGCGTATCGCTTCCGGCACGTTTACGACAGAAACACATACAAAACAGGTGGTTTCATAAACAGAGAAATGAAAACGGAAGCGGTTTATCACGCGATGGGAGCGATAAAGAGGTAAGCCATTGGCGATAATTAAGCGCGACATTCCGGGGAGAATAGGCACGTAGCAGCTGTATAACGGAACCAATTTGCGGGAAAATTGCGTAAATCTGGAGAGCTAGGTTGGACATGTACATGCACATTTTAAAAGCTCACTCCCGTGACCGTTCAAAACGTACATGCATGTAAATGTTCAACCAAGTGCCCTCTGCCAAAATGCTGATTGACCAGGATTGAAACTATTTCGCTATCTTGTACTCTGGTGCGACTCTGTCGGAATGTATGTAACCGTCGATTGTAATTTCCGCCGTAATCTTCCTTCGGGGCACAAAGCCACCCGGCTCCGTGCTACCTTATATACTCGTTCGGAGTAGGACAGTCATTTCGATTTCTCTCGCTGAACGAAAAAGACTGAATCGGCAGTTTCCGCGGTGCTCAACTTCATTGACGCACCAGTTATCCGCAAACGCTTCCGAACATCAGTTGTGATTTGCCGTGACCTTTCGGATTGCTCTGTGACTAAATAATTTATGATATATCTTATCCATAGTCTACCTCATGGCTAGCAGAATCACAGTCTCTTAATTGTTCTTTTTTGCGGAAGTATTTTTTTTTCGCCCTTTGTCGCGATATCCTGGAGCTTTGGGGCTACAAGGGTTTTTCTCAAGTGTGTTATGAAATGGCGAGTTCATTTACGCTCCATTGCTTCTCTTTTTGGCGAATCGTTCTTAAGGGGAGGTCTTGTGCTGTGAAAGTTACTCTCGCAAAGACGTTACAGGTATACATGGCTTGTACTTGACGTCATCAAACTCTGCTAGTGGTTTGATTCCGTGGTGCGAAATTAATTCTGCAGACTGGACGCGTTCGGCCGCAAGGTCAGAACAACGGCCACTGATGTTACCTCAGTTCAAGCCGCGTATATTACTTACGTTATTTGAGCTGAAATGCAATAAAGTTACAAATACAGTTACATTTTAACAAACGAGTTTTGTGTCTATTAACTATTACAGTTACTAGCAAAAAGTAAGTCATGTTGCAATTACTTCTCAGGTGTTCCATAGCATACAAGTCTTCAGTTTGTAACGCATAAACAATTTTGCCGCGGATGCATGTTGAATCAGCGCTCTTGGCACTCTTCTGTTCACGGCAGAGCTTGAAGGAACGGCAGAAACACGTGACGTCGATACTGCTAAAACAACGTCCACGATACGTTTGAGCATGTATGCAGAATCGAACAAGGTTATGCAATATACTCCAAAGATGTAACCACGAAGTTACAGATTACGTACATTTCGCCGTAATTTACGGGGGTTGTTATTCGCACAGAATCAACCGGAAGGTCACGTGATGCTCCACTGACGTCGTTTCTCTGCGTCACGCATTCTTGTTAATCAAAATCGCGTGACCTTTTTTTTTTTTTTTTTGCTACTTTATTTGTTTGTTTTCTTGTCCTTTCTGTTTTGGACAATTTCTTCCTGCTTTTTTAACTTTTTTTTTTTTGCTTTTTCACTTTTTCTTTCTTTTTTCTTTTTTTGTCCGCCCCTTTCTCAGTCTTCACACGGAACCGTTTCTCTGACCGATCTCGCGGGAGCGGCGCGTTACAAGCGAGGACGGGCTCACGAGGGTGGTTGGCCTTTAAAGCGGTGCGGGCGCCCCGTCGCCTGCGCGCTCCGACGACGATCCTCGGCTCTTCGATGCGGCGTCGGAGGGAGGGAGGGCAGGGCCGATGCAGATTCCCGCTCCATTACGCGGCCAGAAACCACCGCACGCTTTCCTGGTGCAGTTTTCCGCCTCCCGAGCAGCGGGGAAGCCGGCCGACGCGTCGCGATGCCGCAGCGTCCCCCCGCGCACCGTCGGCTCCGGGAAGGAAGCAGGGCGCGAGCATCGCCGCCTCGGGAAGTCGCCGAGGCAGGAAGGAAAGCGGCCTTCCCTCAACGGGTTGAGCTCGGGCAGACTCTCCTGCGCGGCGCTCGAAAGGAAGGCCTCGCGGGAGAACGTCTCTTTTCACAGTTTCGTAGGGATGTCGCGAACCTTCGACGAACTTGGGGTTCGGCGAACCTTCGAACTTTTAGCAAAATTCGACGAAGCAGTGTTGCCCGACTTCACAAAAACGTCGAATGTCTAAAAAGAAAACGAAGATATATGATGTAATTTACTTTCTATTTCTTATAATGATTACATATGTTCACACAAGTAAAATGCCAACACATGCAAACACATCCGCGGTCCTCCGCTGGGGCGTGTCAGATCAATTAAACATTCTACCCAACAAATATTGCACCCCCCCCCTGCAGCGGGGGACGTCAGATCGTTTTGAATTTCTGCGCATGCGTATAAGAGTCTAACTTTTGTCGACGTTTTTGGTAAAAGTTAGAAAAAGTGGAACAGTGGTCGAACGCGAAATCCCTGGCCCAAAGTAGGCATGTCGCGATTTTTTGTCGAAACTGCTGTGCGACTCGCTCGGCGAACCTTCGAAGGTCTAGCAAAATTCGACGAAGGATAGAGAAATGGATAGATGGATCTCGGTATATGCAATACCTTTTGTATCGAGCGATAACTTGTTCCACCTAGCCTAGAAACATTTACACCTCCTCCCCTTTTAAGGTATTGCTCTGAATTCCGTCTCTCGTTAAAATCTTCAACCCTTACCAATGTTGTGTATCTTAACACTCCTTAGACCACTTTCAACCAACCTTCCGACCTCATTTTTGTGATTGCAACCCCCCCTTTTTTTTTTTTCTCTGTTCAAGAAGTTTGATTTTTTCAACAGCGTTGACCGACTCCCGCGAAACGAAGACAATTAAAATATTTTAACACAAATGTATGCAATAGGTTGTTTTGTCTTTTCTGCCTTTCGGACAAGGCCCTAAAGAGAGACCGGTGCAAAAGGCTAAGCTTGACGAGGCACTGGTCGCTTACAGTTCGCTTAAGTATATGAATGTACAGAAGCAGAAAAAAAACATTCAGCCGAAAATTACATATATAGTGATCTGCACCTTCCCGATAAGATAACAATATAAAAATAACAAGCAAACAAACAATGCAAAATACACTAGATACAGGAATGATTAAATATACGGACGTAAACAAATAACGCCAAACCCCTAAAGCCGGGGTCATCAAAACCTCCCCCCCCCCCCCCCCCCCCCCCTTCCTGCAGTGGGGCCTGCTCGCTCCCCTGCTCAAGCAGTCGGTTTGGCATGCGGCATAAGGCTATGGGGGAGCGAGCGCGGACTATCCAACTTATAGGTTTTCGGAAAAAGTGTTTGTGGCCTAGAAAATGCTCAGATAAGTTAAATAGGCAATATTTCTTCATTCATGTTTATTTGATGAGATGCGGAACTTTATTTCAGATATATAGATAACGGATATTTCGAAACATTTGTGGGGTGAAGGATGGTAATTTCAATGCCAAGTATAACAAATTATCCTTACTAAAATGCACAGTTGAATCAAACCAAAGCTAGCATT